AAGTGTTTTGCGTGGTGGACAAACATGATACATAATATAGCTATAATTATTAACAACGAGCTCATTAAAAACTAATCTTAAAAAATGTTGTCCGAAATGCTGTCAGACGTTGACSACGATGTTCWTGACGAGTCGGCTAGCATAGTATATAAATATATTATATCAACGATTTTTTCCGCATTCAATACGACAAGGGAGTTATTTGATTACTGAAACCAATAATAACAAATTATATTATTATTTATAAATAAATGCAACTTTAAAAGTAACTTTTAGGATGAACAAAATACCGTTTTTATTTTTACTTTTTAACGTGGAGTCGTTGGTTTTAAAACCTTGGAAATCGAAATTATATTAATATAATGTGTTTGATTCGGTATTTCGATCGTAAAACTTGGATTGCTCAGGGTTCTAGATAAACAGCTACAAAATATAAACACATATCGACTACCACCTTATCGTTGGCTTATTATCCGGTCTGATTAACCAAAACCTTGTTTGTAATATTGTTACTGGTGGTGAAATATGGCTTAAAATACGTAACTCGGTACACGCAAAAGCGCCATATAAGAGRAAAAACCTCATCGAATGGTAATGCACTCTACAGGTTTCAATATTTTATTTTTTCTACAATATATTATGCATTTCGACTGTGGGACTTGCGTTTTTTTTCTTCGATCACATTAATGGCAATAGTAAAATATGGTAATGTCTTTTAACCCTATATTATATAATATTAAAGAACACTCTTTTAACTCAAAAATGCTATACCTGATTATAAAATATAAAAATTTTCATATAATCCGGTAGGTCGTCTATAATGCGTACCTAATTAAATTCATAATTTTGATATATTTTTTTTGATTCCTGTTGTAAGCTAAAAWTTTTTATTTATAATTTAAACAGTTATTTGATGTATAATAATTTGTATACGATATGATTTAGTCATCTCTTTAAATGTTAATTTAACGATAATTTTGTTTTTACTTACTTTACACTTATATCCTTTGGAGTTTTATACATATATTTGTTTATTTAATTGAATGCATAATAATATACAAATAATAGTAGCTTSCGTACCCAACGATAATCAATGACCGTATTTTATACTGGCGGTGAGCAAAGTTTCCTGATTAATCATTTAAATGTTTCAGTTCAATGACAGCTTTAAACATACAATATATTAGATATCTACAATTTTTATATGATTATATTAGATGTAAGAAATATAATTCTGTACATGCACTTGTAGTTATATTATGAAACAAATTTTTACTAAGATTTTTCCCTTAAGCAAAGTAATTTTAAAAAAAAAACATGCAAATTTATTTGCTCATTGAAGATGATTATTATTAATAAATTGTATTAATATAATAATATATTGTAATACATTACATATAAACTGTTCAAATGAGTTTGAAAAGCATTCATCATCCAATTATTTAGATTTATAATTCTCGCAACGATTTTATAGTTAAAAAATAACTACAATGTTGAAAAATTAATATCATCCAAAAGTTCGATATTTTTCCCGAAATCATTAATATGAGTATTTTTATGATAAAATATTATTTTTAGATTTCTTTTAATAACATTAGACAATTTATCGTTTTTTCATCATTCATTAATCATTAAACATTGTAATTAATTAATTTTAGAAATCATTTCTCATTAATTATATTTATGAACAATTATAATTTTGGAAAAATTTTATAAATATTCTAATTTTAATTTTTGAAGAAAATTTCGAATAATAATACCAAATCAAAAGTAATTGTTTAGTATTGTATCGTTTTTTCTAGTCATATTGATACCAATCAACGTTGTTGCAGTTAATTACACACAGATTTTTTACGATTATTTTCATCTATATCCAACAGTCAGAACCACTGAAATAAATTAAATAAAAATCGAACAAAATGTTCTATAATATTAATATAAGACMTACCCATTAAGTTTTAATCTTATAACCAACGAAAGTATAATAATYATGATAATACAATACATATTTTTTTTTAAATATTAATATTCTAGTGCACATAAATTCATTGCTACATTGAACAGTTTTTTCAAACTACTTGAGAGCACAAGTCACGATCATATCTAGTTATGATCTAGTAAAACTTTAAGAAAAATAATATTTAAGATTTTATTTATATACATAAATCCTTCCACTCCATCGAATAACTCAATTTTACCATCAACTATACAGATGATTTTAAAAACAACAATAAGAACCACTGACCCTTTTTTTTATACAACGGAGCAATAAAATGTTTAATCTGTTTATGGCTAAGATTTGCAGAGCGTTACAAGGAAGGGTCAAAGGAAGTTTATACTCATTTTCTATTACGGTTCTCGACAAATTTCAGTTGCCACATAAAACTGAAASACCAAATGTAATTTTTTTTCTTGACCGTGCTGTTACAAACAACATTTATACTGCGAAAAAAAAAGTAGAAATAATTAAATCCACAAAACAATTTAAGTCACCAGGAAGTTTGAATATATGTGTACACCGTATATACATACATATATATATATAAACATACTGCATATAATATTATAGTATTGGTCTGACGAAAAAATAATTTGAACATATACTTAGCTTTTTTATRGTTGAAATTATGTTTATAGAAATATAATGAGAAAATAATACATCACAAATAAAATGCATTTATATTATGCTTTATTGATAGATTTTTAATATAGCTTACTATATATTTATATATAATAAAGTATCTACTATCCATGCGTTATTACAGAAATTCAAAACGTATAWTATAACAATGTGATAATACRAATATAATTGCATACTCGAATATTCATAATATGATGGTATCCAAAAAAACTGTAATCACAATACATATATTTATATTATTGTTTAAGCATCGTTAACAGATCACACACTAATAATACGAATTGGAATTAATATAAGCTTAATGACTCGATTTTCTGATAATACCTATTGTTTTAACATTTTGCGAAGTTAAAAAGTAAGTAGATAATAAGATACATCAGAACTTGGGAACAAGGTAACTGTTTTGAAAAAGGTATCCTGAAAGTAAAACACATTGTTGTAAAATCGCTTAYTGTCAATAAATAAATATCGGTAAGTATGTTGACTGATAATTTTCATATAACTCTACCTGGTGGCTGGTACCTAGGTACATCTAATAATTAATTACTACTAATAGAAACTATAAAACATCAATAAATTCACATTAACAGAAAATAGCCAGTTTTTTAAATTTGAGCTGAATCCCTAATTTCACATATTAAGAAAAATAGAAAAAATTTAATATTTTTTTTAAAAGATATTAACTACTATAGATTTATATTAATGCATCATTTGATGGTAAAGTACGATTTCAATGTATGCAAGCACCTTTATACTTGAATGTAGAAATAATGAATATTAACTAATACTAATACTACCTACTAATGAATATCTTTGATTGTATTTCTGAGGCAATTATATTACATGTAATAATGTGATGTACCGAATTATATCATATTTTTTATTTTTCAATACTCAATTTCCATTAATCTTAAAATAAAAGTATTTTTTTAGGCTTTTTTAAAACTAAAATATTCCGCTTATTGCTTGCAAATCTAAAAGATTTCATTAAAATTCATTTAAAAAATTGGAGAAATTTGTTTAGAAAATATAATCTGGTGAAATGTCTTAATATCAACCTAACTGTACCTTGAAACTAAAACAACTAAAATGGTGTAGTGATGCATAATAATATTCAGACTACAAGTAAGTATACGTACAACATATATTAATTATATTATGTATACAGTATAATTATGTAACAATACAATTTTTAATTTTTCTTCAAAAAAACTCGAAAATCGACTGAGATAGCTAGTGTCAAGYATAAAGCGTACAAAGTTTAGTGTCACGTAATAATAATAATATTATGTCAACTGCACGAAAATATACACAACGCTATGGTAGAGTGATTTTTTTCTTTACTTGGAAAACAACAACAGCGAGCGCGTGCGAGTTTACACAAATGACACTTGTATAGCAGCAGCAGTTGTACGCCTCAGGCCAGACGCGATTCAATTCAGTGCCGATTGTCGTTTTCGCACATACCATACACATTATAATATATATCGTACGGTTCCGTATCATTGTCCGACTTCACGCGTCGCATCGAAATCAAGACCCGACCTTATATCGTAATACGATAGTCGTCATGTCGTTCATCATGTACCACGTCGCGTTCGCGTCCCTGGCGTTCGTGGCGGACATATCGGTAGCGGACATATCGGTAACGGAATATCCGGACGAATCCCTCCAGTACCTAAACAATGTGAAACATGCGACAAAGACGCACCACGACGACGTAGAGTTCCTGCAAAATGTAATAAAACTGGACTTCCTCTGGTGGCCGATACTCAACGAGATGGTGAAGATTAAAAAGCCGAAGGTGTACTTCAACCAATATTTGAAACCGGAAAACGAAGAAATCGAGCATCACCAAAATCAAGTTTTRCGGCCGTTTGTCTTCATTTCTGACTTGATAAAAACGAATACGTTCACAGGTTGTGACGTCCGCTTTGCGATGGACGCTATYAAGTCCGCGATGGCGTGTTCGATGCTCAAACACATCTCGATGCAGGCGCTCATGTATCATACTTTGAATTCTAATTTTAGTGATGACATAATACCCGATGGTGAGAAAATATTGTTTCTTGACTGGCTGATAAACATGGTCGAATTGGCTTTGAAAAMATTGATTTCGGTGGTCCATACTCATGATCCGCAGCAGCCGATTACCCGAGCTTACCTGCTCCTCATTGAGATGTCACGTAAATTGTTARGCAACACGAATCCCGATTTCAAAACCAAAGACTTACCGGAAATCAGCTCATATATGTACGAAGAAATCGTTAGGACRTGCGCGGCGCCYACTGACCACAAMGGTTATTACAAATCATTGGTCGTCAATTTTAATAGAGACAAAATGGTCGAAGACCTGAAGAAACATMGCACAAAGATCACTGAAACCTTGAAAAAAGTCATTGAAATACATCGTATTGAAACAATGCGCATGTATGAAGGAGATATAATCATCAACGAAGACATAAATTATGAAAATATTACTGAACTTGGAGATGATGTACTGAAAAAAGCCATGATCGCAAACTACTTTCAAATGATCTTTTTATACTTGAACTTGCCCATACAAACCTTGAAAGATTCCCAGTGGAAGGAAATTTATAATAAGATAATCTTAGATCCCCTGCCTGATGAATAGCGTCGGGACTGTAATCACTAAGAGTGTAATATTTTATGTTATAATAACGCTATTAACTATTGATTTTAAAAAGTTTGTAATTGAAATGACTTGACAATAAATTATACATAATAATTTAAACTCGTGTATAATTAATATATACTATGCAATATAATATCATTCCTATAATGCTTATACATAATTATATAAATTTATTCAAATATATATAATACTATGTTAATAGTATATACAATAATTTAATGTTTAAACTAACCGAAGAAATTTTATGCTTTGATTGAATTTCTTACACTTAGTTAACTTAAGCTTGAAGATGGTTTTCAATTTTTACACCAATAATTTGTTCAAACTTAGTTTTTTTCASTAATGTTTTACCTACTTGCAGTAAATGTTTATATTTTTTTAATTTTCAATATATATTTATTTATGAAATATTATTTACTCTTAATTGCTTAAGTGATAATCAAACTTTCAAACTTGGATTATTAACCAAAATTAGTGAAAACTATTTTTTTCACGCCAAATAATATATAATATATTCGAAATTAAAGAAGAATTACKTTTTTTATTGTGTTTATCTGTTATCACGTTTTAGAGCTAAAAATATTCTTCAATATTTAATTTTGAGATTCTAGTAGCAAAATTTATCTAGTTCATAGTTTGTAAGGTTMAAAATAAAAATCGGACTATATGATTTATGAGCCTTTTAATTTTGGTTACATTGTGTGGTACCTAATGTTCAAGCAGGTCATCCTTCACTGTTGTCAGCTAAAAAGGTAAAACAACTATTTGGTTACCTGATCAATGTTACTCCTAAAATCCACATAATTGTTTGAACTCGGATAGGATCACTCGAAACCTCATATTACACATTAGATGAGAGTTCCACGATTTTTTAGTTTTTTAATTGCATTTTTAATGGTTTTATAAATTTCATAATACCTATATATATTTTATATTTATCATTTCAATGATTATAATATATGTAGTTACTATAAATACATAAATATCATTTTTATTATCATTAATATTTGATTTTTACAGCTATTTTTGCATCTTGTATGTTTTTCGAAATTTTCTAATGGATTTTGAAATACCTGAGTCTTATAATGCAGGGTCCCTATTATTTTTTAACTATTTTATAATTTTCATATTATTGTACTTGCCGCAGCAAGCCGGTATAATTTACAGACACGGAATGTTTCTGAAATGACGACTTAGACATTAACATTTCAGTGAGAAATGGTCAAATCCTCGAAATACGCCCTTTATATACAATACATGTCCACAATAATAATAATATAAAATTCAACTTCTGTCTCGTTTTGTTGCAGTGGGAAGAACCGACCCTTGTCGGATGGTGAAGTGCTCGCATGGTCAGCGGTGCATCGTGGACAAGGCAACTGCCCAAGCTCGCTGTGTGTGCTCCGAGGAAACAAAATGTCAAGGTGATGATAGCGGAGACGGTGCCGGTGGACCAGTCTGCGGCAACGACTGGAGAGACTACCCAAGCGCGTGTCACGTCAGAAAAGCGTCGTGTACGACGGGTCGGAGCATAGCGGTCAAATACAGAGGGCTGTGTGGTACGTAGAATGTCGATAATAATATTATTACGGATATTATTTATTTTTCATAATTACGTTTTCCGATCGAGTCAGTAACAAAATGTACCGGTTAGGTTATAATAACTGYAAAAACTACCTAAAATGTTTAAATACACGAAARTGTATGCTGTACGTTATRTGAACTAACTGCGTTACACTAAAACTAGGAATAATATATTTAATGGTATTGGCAATATAAACAATTGAAAAAGGCATTCACATTTAATAGATCTAGTATAACGACGAGTGATGCTGWCACCCATGAATCGTTTGAAGTGTAATATATGCTATATACCTAGTATAAAATATAATTTATTATATAGTAGGTATTGAATTACATGTCAGCAATCCATATCGAGACAAGTTAGTAATGAAATTGCCTATAGTTGTATTGTATTATAATTTATAGATACGCCTTATATACTGGATCCAAAGTGATCCAACTCTATAAACTATAATTCTTCATCTGTCTAAATCTAAAACTTCCGAAGCAACTATAGACTTAAACARACTATAAATTATTTGCTGTATTATAATGYAATTTATAAATTACAATAGCTATAATGTAGCTAAAATTTGATAGTAATATTTTAAATCCCAAAATGTCGGGTAATTATTTTTTGCCACCTTTAGGGATTTTAACATCGCCGCCGTCTAACGATATCATCTTTTTCAGATCCGTGTGACTATATATCGTGTGAAGAACCCCAAGTATGTCGTTTGGACTACGAGAGACGTGCCAGGTGTGTATGCTCGGAATTTTGCGGCGAAGACTTCATTCCGGTGTGCGGATCCGACGGCCGGACTTATACGAACGAATGCTTTTTACGACGACAAGCATGTCGGATGATACCAGGTCTGAGAATCGTCTTCCACGGCCAATGTAACCAAGGTAAATAAAATCCGCTATAGATTTAAGCCTGTGGTTCATATAATATTATACACAGTGATAAAATATTGATACTACTAGTGATAGAATACCATGATCCAGACGTTCTCAAACTTTTCAAGCAGCCCCCCCCCCTTAGTCAACCACAGATGTGAGTCTTTCTTCATACAAATAATTTTAATAGTGATTATTATCACGCAAATTTCATATATCTTTTTGTGTCCTTACAATACAATGTTGATTTTTTAAATTTTCTCCCCCCCGAAAAATAAAATTAAAAATTAATGTTGTCATTCAAAACAACAAAAAACTGTTCAAACAAACAAAGTTTAATGATCCCCCTCACAACACATTTTGAGAACTTCTGCCATAGTCCATAGTATTATACAACGTACTATTTCTAGTACTGACAGATCCGAGCGTTTGACTTCATGTCGGTTGTAWATAAGAGATACGACAATTTCATTCATACAATTACCGCTCATATTTTTGCATTTTTACTTTTAAAGACGTGCGCTTTTCCGGATTTATTTACGATTCGAATAAAAGGTTTATCTTTAAAGGTTCAACGGAAAAACCACTGTCCACACTTCGATTTTTGGTCTGCTGTATAAGAAACTATAATTCCTTGTACCTAGATATAACAATGATATACAGAATTATGAGAAATGATGTATGTCACAATGACAATCGATAATCGATTTTGTAACGCAATACTTTGACAACGGCATATTAACATAATGTATAATACGTGCACTTATATCTCCATAATTTTTCTAATATATATTATGTTCAAAACCCTTTACTCGGAACTTGAACCTCTTCCCTCACCAATATTGTCTGTCTAACTGTCTTCGAAAGGATAATTTAGAAAATCACATCTCCCTACCATAACATGTAAAATTGGATTTTTTTCATAATTGTTCGCGTAGACTTTACAAAAAATTCTATTAAATTAAATTAATGACGCTACCAATAATAACACGATGACCTCCTTTCCAGGTGTAAACCCGTGTCAGAACTTCACATGTTGGGAAGGATCGCATTGCGCGATCGATCGTCTGGGCATTGCCGAGTGCCGTTGTCCTGAGCCCACACTTTGCGAAACGTCCGTGAGACCAGTTTGTGGTACAGATGGTTATACTTACGAATCCAAATGCCTCTTGGAACGGATCAGTTGCAGCAAGAGGTCCGGCGTTAAGGTTGCATACGATGGACATTGTGGTAAGAATACGTATGAGTTAGCTTAGGTTAGGTTAAGTTTTTTGTAAAAATATTCAGTTTGATATAGTTTGAAATACCAGGGGAAATATCACTTGTATAACAATAAATTTTAGCAGCRAAATAAAATTGATAATTTTTGTTGTGTTACTGTCGAAATTTATTAGACATTTAATACATTTACAGACAATTATTAATTTTTATCCATTCTGAAACAAACTATGTTTACGAAAATTGAGGCATAAATAAAATAAAATAAATTAAATAAAATAAATTCCATTTTCAAACATTTAATGTTTAAATAAACAGAGTCAAATGGCAAAGATATTATTATACCTCATAAAACTTTGTGATATACTAATAATTACTCCGCTCGTATAGWCTCTCGGCGCTTGTCAATAACAAAAAGAAAAGGAAATATTCATCAATATTCCATGTTAATTATTTACAAAACTATATGATTGAAAACGTTTTGTGCTATAGACTATAATATAGAACATGACATTTTTATGGCAAATATGTAGAAATTTAAAAAAGAATGGTAAAATGGTAATATAATTAAAAATACATTTTATCAAATTCAGAAACATTGACAAAGGAAATTATAGTAATATAGTGTATCATACAAAATGCTATGCCTGTATAGACGTATAGTGTATAGCTAGTATAGGGTTCCGAAGTGGCTTCAAACTTCAATGATAAGTAATAACTAATATAGCCAATAAATATTAAAATATGTATAATAACATAACATAGTGATTGTGATTGAGATTCACATTGCTCCAAACAAAAAATATTTATAGTCSAAAATTTTTGGTCGAAACCCAATGAMATTTTCCTAATTTTAGTATGMAATATTATACAGTGATATTCATTAACTCATTTCAATTATTTATCTTTAACTTTAGTTTGATTATTGTATGACATTGAAGTAAAAATACAAACCTAACTAGTAACTGTAATTACTAATTACATACACTATAAATTGGTATCGTACTTTTTTTTTGTATTTAAAAATTAGGTATTTGTTAATTTATTATTTTTTATTATACCAATGAAGTTAATTTTTTTTTATAGTAATATAAGATATAACATTGATTTTAGTATTATGTATTATGTTTCTGTATTAAGGTTGTGAAGAATAAAATACTATTTATATACCTAATAATACATTAATAATTACGTGATCTACATTTCTAATAAAAAATACTCAAAAAATTATTTTTTTAATGGCCSWTRATAACGTTATAAAAGATGTMTATAAAAAGWAGCTTCCTAAGTAAATATTTAGCTTACCTATAGTTAAAAAATACAAACTGGAACTATGAATTTAAGTTTAAAATTCYACAACATAACGTGATCTGTATTGACTATGAGTTAAAACA